CTATAGGTCTGTGGGTTCATTTCTGGGTTTTTTATTCTATTCCATTGGTCCTGGAAGGATGGCCAATAGACACATGAAGAAATGCTCAACCTCCCTAGCCATAAAAGAAAAGCAAATCAAAACACTGAGATACCACCTCACCCCAGTTAGAATGGCTATAATCAAGAACTCTAATAACAACAGATGGTGGAGGGGATGTGGACAGAAGGGAACCTTACTGCATTGTTGGTGGGAGCGTAAACTTGTTCAACCACTTTGGAAAGTAGTATGGAGGTTCCTCAAAAGACACATAGGGCTCCCCTATGACCCAGCAATCCCACTTTGGGGCATTTACCCAAATGATCACAAACAAGACCATATGAAAGCTACCAGCACAACTATGTTTTTTGCAGCATTATTTACCATAGTTAAGATATAGAACCAACCCAGATTTAAGTGAAGTAAGCCAGGCCCAAAGAAACATAGGTCCAATGGTTTCCCTTATTTGCAATAACCAGTATATGTTTGAGACAAGCAGAAACGGTCAGATAAGTTGATGTTAGGTGAAATGAACTCCAAGGTAAGGAATCAAATCGTTTTTCTTTCTTGCTATTGTTTCTAACATATTTATAAGATGATTTCTTTGTTGCTTTGTATGTCCCTCCCTCACGGTATAACCCGTTTTCACTGTATTTGATGTTGGTATAATTTGTGGAGGGGAAGGGAAAAAACAAATTGTATAAATAGGGATACAGGTGGACCCACTGCAACAATGAGATGTACAAGACATTATGTAGAAAAACGAACTTTACAACTTTGGTGTGGTGGGGGGTAGGAGGGAATGGGAAGGGATGAGAAGGGAAACAAAAGAGGAGGCAACAATGGTTGATAAGAAATGTACTCAGGAAGTGGTGCTGTAGCTCAAGTGGTAGAGGGCTCGCCTTGAGCTGAAGAGCTGAGGGACAGCGCCCAGGCCCAGAGTTCAAGCCTCAAGACCGACAAAAAAAAAAAGAAAGAAAGAAATGTACTCATTACCTTGCTCATGTAATTGTAACCCCTCTGTACAGTATTTTCACATTAAAAAAAAAAGTAAAAGTAATCCCTGAAATTTACAACACTTAAGAGCTTATATGAATAACTTCTTTTAACTTTTCTCCTTACCAGAAATATAGAATCCTCTTACCACATATTGTGTTCTAGACAGAGTTAAGTTAAAAAGTTATATGCCATTCTGAATAAAAACCTACATGTGCTAGAGTCTGGAAAGCATGATAGCAATCCTTTTCTTGGACAATGTAATTATACGCTCTAAGAACAGCCACTCCAGCATCTTGCATCCCATCAACATCTTCAGAGTCATCAACCACAAAGATAAAACCAATTCTGTAGAAGGGATAAAGAGAAATCAACATCTCAAAGAATGTCAGCAGCCAAATAATATTCCTGTGGTCTCCTCAGGTATTTTAACTGATAAAAAAATAACTATCCCAAGTGAAGAGCACAGTTCCCATCCTACTCTAACATGTTTGGCCAAGGTATACATACATCATTTACAGAGTAAGGGTAGGCTCTCATTATCCTTTAGGCTTTTCTGTCATTAAAGCCAGCTATTTTGACTAATGAAAACAAGAGTGTTGTTATTGTTTTACATAGTAATTTTGTTCTTTTTTTAAACAAAAATTAAGAGATGAGAATTTGTAGACTATAAAAAGTAAAGGGAAAAGGAGGGACTGAATTTAACAAAAGCAATATCAGAATTATAAGTAAAGTGATATAAAAAATGTGATTGTCTTATAACAAAAAAAAAAAACCAAAGTTTAAAGTTTATAAAATTTTAAAGTAAAGGAATAAACCAGAGATACCATTATATATCTACAGAGACATGCCAAAGTAAGAATACTTGTACTTGAAAATTATGCTTCCTAAATATCTCAGTCTGTAGTTTTTGGTTTCTATGATAAAGTACTCAGTATGAGATCTTCTTAAAACTACTGAAGAAGAGTCTATCTAAGAAAGTAGGAAATGTGACTTATATGTGCTCATTCACAGCACTTAGCTCAGTGCAGTGTACACATGGTAATGTTTATCCATTAGTGTTCTTTTCCCTTTTATTTTGATTTCTAATTTTTAAAATTACAAGAATTATTCCAGAATATAAATATAAATATCTTAATACAGATCTTTAACAACTTACAAACAGTATCCACCAAAACCAATAGTGAAAATCTAGCTACAGAGAGCTCTGTTGTTAGATATGGCAAACGCCAGTATCAATGTGTCTGTCTGCAGCTACAAAAGATCATACAACATTTTATAACATCTAGGCCTTAGCAGCCCAAGCATTACCATACAATTACCCTATAAGTTGTACTAGACTTGAACTTCACAATCAAAAACAAAACTTCAGCCTAAATAACTATACAATCAAGTCAACAGCAGTGGTACCTTAGTGGGATGTGATTACTAAGGAACATCTCAGCTGTGTTCATCAACTCAGATGTGCTCTCATGTGCAGGATCAACTATGAAAACCTGTTGGGGGAAAGAGACAAGAACCACGAAGCACATTTATTCTAATATTCGTAGGACAACAAAAATATCATTAGCATTGTACATTAAACCAACCATTTTCTACATAAGAGTTGTGAAATCAGCAAATGCCTCCCTCTGTATTAAAAGAATGTGGTAGTGGAAGGCAAGATGATTTTCTTATGGATTTCTCCTGTTAGCACATGAATCATGATCCATATTGCTGGCACCTACTCTACTACAAAAAACAAAAACCAAGTTTTATCAACTCTTTAGAAAATAGACTCTTCCTTTTATATACTCACTTCTTACTTCTCAGACCACAGTAACAGCCATTATGTATTAAGCCCTCACTATGTTCTAAGCAACTTATACAAACAAACCAAAAAAAACAGTAGTAATATGAACCTTCTGAGTAAAAAAAGAACTGTTAAAATTTACATAACACTACTATGAGCATAAAACTGCTCTAAAGAAATAAAAGTTTTAAAATACAAAACTGAAAAACCTACAAAGACATAGTCTAAACCTTGGAATTCCAGATGGCTATGTAAGAGTGGCTGAACACTGCTACCTCACTTCCCTAAAGAAAACAACTCATTCCAAAGCTCCCATGTGAGCAGGAGTACAACTCGGGGTGACAGTGGGGATGGTGAGAGAGTAGTCACTAAAAGAGAGAAGCAAACCCTCTATACACAACAATGCAGGAGAGAACAAGGGAGGACACCTGTGAGCAGAGAGAATAAGGATTTCCTTACCATGTTGTGCAAGTTTTTTCGGATCTGCCGGATAACACCAGGAAAGGTGGGTCGAAGCAATTCTTGTAGACTAGAAGGCCATGCATTATATCTGCTATCAGTCTCCAAGTTGTTGACCCACTAGAAAAGAGTAATATAACATGGCACACACACACATATACACACATTTATCACTAGTTAATGAAACATGAAGTTAATAAAACAATAAGACTTTATTTTAAGAATCATAAAGGGAATAACGGATTTTGGTTACTCAAACCACAGAATAGGTAAAGTTATCCAAAGTCAAGAAAACCAAAAAGGAATAGGATCAAAAATATCAGCTGGGCATTTGTGGCTCATGTCTATAACACATACTTGGGAGAGCAAGAGCTGAGGATCACAGATCAAAGCCAGCCATGGCAGAAAAATCCATGTAAGACTCTTATCTCCAGTTAACCACAAACAGAACAAAACAAAACAAAAACAGAAGTACAGCAATGGCTTGAGTGGTATAACATTAGCCTTGAGCAAAAAAAAAAAAGTATCAGGGGCAGCACTTAGGCCCTAGGTTCAAGCCTTAGGAATAGCACACATGCACACACAAACATGCACAGAAACAATGTAATATCTATAGAAAGAATGGATAAACAGCATGATCCTATCATATGTCTATAAGTAGATTTCCTTACTTAGGTATATGTCTAGTATTTCTAGAAGGATACCCAAGTGGTTTTTCTGTTTTTGTTTTTTTTGTGTGTGTGTGTGCTGATCCTGGGGCTTAAACTCGGGGCCTAGGTACTGTCCCTGAGTCATTTTTGCTCAAGGTTAGCATTCTTCAACTTGAGCCAAAGCTCCACTTCTGGCCTTTTGGTAGTTAATTAGAGATAAGAATCTTGGGGATGGAAGGTATATATCAACTGGTAGAGGACTAGCCAATGAGCAAAAGTGTCACGTACCAACTTCTAGTTTCAGTCTCTGAACAACAACAACAACAAAAAGAATTTCATGGACTTTTGTGCCTGGGCTGGCTTCAAACGGTAATCCTCAGATCTCTGCCTCCTGAGATAGAAGTAATCCTAAATCACTTGGATTACAGTTGTGAGGCACTCAGGTCCATATTTTGTATTTCTTTAAAACAAGTCTGACCTCAAACTTAAGGATCCTCCTGAGTCCATCACAACACCCAATCCTAATTAATTGTTAATGATTGTCACCTTTAGGGAGAAAAGTGATAACTAAGGAGATTTTTTTCACTATATACCTTCTATACATTTTAAATTTTATGCTATGAAAGTACAAAAGATTTTCTCTTAAAAAAGTGAAATATTATATATAATAACCTATATGTAGGTATCAACCTACAAGATCTTTAAAATTCTGTTGAATAAAAAGAAAAGGTCTTACATGATTTTGTGACAACATGCATAATTTAAAACTCTTAAAATATATATTCTTAGTTAAGAGCATTATTTAAAAGGCTATTGCAAATAATTATCTATGATCCCTAAGTCACTGACACTTGTAAAGAGAATGAAAGAAGTGATGCATGCCTGCAGTGCCAGCATTCAAGAGGCTATATTGAGAGGATCTAGAGGGCAAGTCCAGCTGGAGCTACAGAATGAGACATCTCAAGAACACAAACCAAAACTAAACAAAATGGAAGAGAATGTAGGGATTGGCATCATTGTGGTGGTCATCATTTGTTGAATATGAAAAGAAATTGATGTGGGATACCAATAGACCTCTAGACTATCTAACTATTTAAAATATTTAACAGGAAATAATAAGTGATGGAGCAATGTGTACCAACTCCCAGAGGTATGACTTGCAGGGGAGGAGGTATAACTAACTGGTAAGGAATATAAAGAAGGCTTCAGCTAAAACATTTCTTTTCCCAGAAAAAAAACAGACTTGACACAAAATGATTATTTAGTAAGAATGGTGATGGGACATGTGGTTTCTAAATCTGTGAATGTAGAAATATGTCATACTTATCCATTCCCGTTAATCTGTATACATAAAACTATTTTAGCAGAAAAAACAACAACAACACTATTTACCAAAATGTGTAACAGGCTGGGCTCTGGTGGCTCATACCTGTAATCCTGGCTACTTGGGAAGCTGAGATTGGTTGTGGTTTAAGACCAGACCAAGAAAAAAAAAAAGTTCATAATATATCTCAATCCAGATCAGGGTCCAGTAACATGCTCCTGTTACCCTAGTTACAACAGGAAGCCTAAAATAGATGTTAACCAGGTGCATGTCAGCTTAGGTAGAGACCCTATCTCAAAAGTAATCAGTGCCAAGTGAAGTAAGCTCAGAAAGACAAATGGTACACATTTTCTCTCATATGTGGAAACTATATATCTAAAAGACAACTAGGCATGATAACATATACAAGGCTCAATCCATTTATACACAAACTGACCAAAGTAGGGTATACTTTGTAACTCTTCTAAAGTACTATTTATCAAAACAAATACCAGGAAATAGGAATATGTTTTGGAGTAAGGGGACATAGGAATGGAGGATGAGTAAGCAAATGCAATCATTGTATTCAATGTACACTATGTAAAAAGTGAACTGTAGTAGGGCACTGTTAGCTCATGCCTGTAATCCTAGCTACTTGGGAGACTGAGATCTGAGGATTGCATTTTGTAGCCAGCTGGGTAAGTCCATGAGACTCCTATCTCCAATTAACTTTTAAAAAAAGGAAGTATATGTGTGACTCAAGTAGTCGAAGTGGGGGGCTGGGAAGGTGGCTCAGTGGTAGAGCGCTTGCCTTGCATGCATGAGGCTCTGGGTTCGATTCCTCAGCACTACATAAGAAAAAAAGCCAGAAGTGGCGCTATGGCTCAAGTGGTAGAGGGCTAGCCTTGAGCTGAAGAGCAGAGGGACAGCGCCCAGGCCCAGAGTTCAGGCCCCACAACCGGACCCAAAAAAAAAAAAAAAAGAAAAGAAAAGAAAAGTAGAAGTGGTATAGCACTAGCCTTGAGCACAAAAGCTCAAGGATAGCACCCAGACCCAGAGTTCAAGCCCCAGAACTGGCACAAAAAAAAAACAACAAAAAGAACTATGGAACTTGTGGGTAGGTATGAGAGGGGGAAAATTGGGGAGAACAAAGAAAGGGGCAACACTGTCCAAGAAGTCTTTACTCATAATCTGACTTAAGGAATTGTAACCTTTTGTACAAATACTTAATAATAAACATTACAAAAAAAGGTGGGAGGTATGACTTAGCAGTGACAGTGTGATATCGCAAGAGCCAGGTCCTGAGATCATACTCTAGAACTGCCCCACCCCCCAAAAAAAAAGAAAATGGTGTAAAAGTTGTATCACCAAGTGATCACTCAAGTGATGATAACCTACAGTCTACATTATTTCTCTCAATAAAATTTCTCTAAAATAAGTGAGGTTCAGAAACCAAAGGACAGATGCCGAGAGTGAGCTGGCCGCCATCAACTCTACAACCATCTCATCTTTGCCATGATCACCCATGATGGTACTAGTCCTCACATTCTCTTCACAGATGACAAAGGCTCAGAGATGACACACAGCAGACAAAATTTAAAGTCCTTTTTAGTCTGCTTATTAACTTTAAGAACCAAAAATATTATAAACACATAGACTCACATAAGCAGTTATAAATCTTTGATGGCAACAACAGAGAGAGAGAGATAACTCTACTTACTTCATGTTAACACAAATTAGATACCTATAATGAAGATGCCCAGGCCAGAATGCCCCTGACCCATTACTCACCAATACAGCAGGACTCCTGATGTCTACTGCATAATCTGCCTCAGAAGGCTGGATGTTCAGCTTCAAAATATTATGCAGAGAAAGGCCTTCTATGCCTAGTCTGTGCAGACCCTCCATTACCCGGGCTTCATTCCTCAATACATCAAACAGACTGGGGGAGGATAACAGTGGTTAGTGGAGATCTGAAAATTAGTCTGGTGGTAGAATACTTCCTGGCATAAGTAAGACCTTGAGTTTGATCCATAACACTCCCTAACACACACACACACACACACACACACACACACACACGCACACGCACGCACGCATGCACACACACACACAGAGTAATCTAACAATATTTAGCAGAAAAACTAAAACATCCTCACCACGGAAAAAACTGTCAAAGTTCAAACTCAATGCCAAACCCCAGCAGCTGAGAAAACAAAACAAGGTGCTCTTGTCCTTATTTTATCTTGTCAGAGTACACAGGACAGAAGAGCATGCATCTTGGTTTCTGTTTATTTATGCTCTTCAGTGAATACAGAAATAGAGATTTAGGAAGAAATACTCATTAATCTATCTACATGTATAGTCCATGTTTTTAAAAACAATGGATTGTTCTCTATATTATGTGTTAAAACAACTTACTGTAAATCCTAATTATCTCAAAAAAAAAAAATCTCAAGTAACACACCAGTAGCTCAAGCCTATAACCCTAGCTACTCAGGAGGCTAAAACCCAGAGGATGGAGGTTCAAAGCCAGCCATGGCAGAAAAGCTCAGAAAACTCCATCTCCAAAATAAATAGCAAAATATAGAGCTGGAGATGTGGTTCAAGTGGTAGAGCACCAGCCAAGCAAGCAAGCTGAGCAACCCCTAGGCCCTGAGTGGTATCTAGTACAGCCAAAAAAGAAACACTATAATGCAAAGCCCTGGGTTCAAATCCCAATAACACATGAGAGAGAGACAGAGAGAACATTATATGAAAACACTGCACATGCATAATATACAAGTCAATATCAATATTAGTTTACAAACAGACAAACATACAACCACAGAAAAGTCTGCTGGGGAGGCAAAAAAGAAATGAAAGGGAGATACAAACAGAAGATGGATTGAAACTTTATTTTTTAGTTCAAAACCTTTACATACTCTGAAAACATAAAGATTATGTAAAAATAGATTATATGTTTTAAATAACTCATTCAATAAAAACACCAATGGGCTGGGCGCCGGTGGCTCACGCCTGTAATCCTAGCTACTCAGGAGGCTGAGATCTGAGGATCACGGTTCAAAGCCAGCCCAGGCAGGAGAGACCCTGAGACTCCTATCTCCAATAAACCACTAGAAAACCGGAAGTGGTGCTGTAGCTCAAGTGGTAGAGCGCTCGCCTTGAGCTGAAGAGCTGAGGGACAAGCGCCCAGGC